AGGTTGCTTGCTGAAATTCCTTAGTGACTGTCTAAATTCTGTCAAAATTATAATAAACTATTAGTAAATAATCCATCAAAATTCTGATGAATTTTGAAACCTGTCATAACTGAAATTATGTCAAAATTCTAATTTACAATTAGTGTGTAATCTGTCAAAATTATGACAATATTTTTCTAAAAGAGTTTAGATAAGCATTTTTACTTCCAACTAAAAATGATGCAACAACTATTATAATATAGTAACAAATAAAGCATTATCTAGTTGCAACTAGTTATAACTTATAAAATTTTGAAGTTGTAATGTGTTGTATCATCTCTATTCCCAACATCTAGTATCTAACTCTTTCAAATATACACAATCACTATTATTATTTTTATATAATTCTTAATTAATTATTATAATTAGTTAATATCTTGTCTATTTATAGTTATTAGAATTAGATTAAAACAAGTTTTTAATAATAATAATTATTATCTTATAGTTAGCTATTTCTCACTTTTACCTATTCAAAAAAATTTAATTTGTATATATTATAAAATAAATAGTCAAATGCAATATATTTTGTCTATCCATATAAGAACAATAATAATATTATAGTTATTAAAATTAGATTAGAACAAGTTCTTAATAATAATAATAATAATCTTATAGTTAGCTATTTCTCATTTTTATCTATTCAAAAAAGTTTAATTTGCATATATTATAGAATGAATAGTCAAGTACAATATATTTTGTCTATTTATATAAGAATAGTAATAGTATTATAGTTATTAGAATTAGATTAGAACAAGTTTTTAATAGTAATAATAATTATTTTATAGTTAGTTATTTCTCACTTTTACCCATTCAAAAAAGTTTAATTTGTATATATTATAAAATAAATAGTCAAGTATAACTCTTTTTTATATCTCTTTAACAAAGTATATTCTTGTTTCTTATATAATTACTTTAATATATTTACTATAAATATTATATAATTCTTGAATAAAGTATTAGTTACTTAAATATATTTGTTACAAATATTATATTTTTTAATAATTTAGTTTTTAAACTCTTTGAATATGTTTGTGATAAAATTTATTAAAGTTATTATTATTAATTTTATAATTTTTTTTAATTATGAAGTTATATTTAAATAAAAAATTATTATTATAATTTATAAATTTATCTTTGAGTCATATTTGTTATAATATAAATATTATTATTATTTCTATATTTTTGATTTCTAAATTTTGAGAATATTTTTTAGTTATTCAAATTATTATATTATTATCATTTGATATTTTGAACATATGTAAAATATTATATGATATAATTATTTATATTTTTATTTATATTTTTCTATTTATAATTTTATTTTTAATTATTAATTTATCTAATTTATACATAATTTATTCAAAATATCAATTAATTCTTTTTAATATCACATTATTTGTTTTATTGGATTTAAATTCATTCTATTTTAAATTAAATTTAACTTTGACTTATCCAATTAGTAAAAGTTATATTTTGTAATTTAATAAATTATTTGTATTTTTGAATTATAAAATACTTATCCAACTAGTAGAAGTATTAGAATCTAGTATTCAATCCTCTCAAGTACATACAGTTACTATTATTATTTTTATATAATTCTTAATTAATTATTATAATTAGTTAATATTCTGACTATTTATATAAGAATGATAATAGTATTAAAAAATACAAATTGTTATTAATCTTTAAATAATTTTGTTATTAGTACTTTTAATATTTAATATATATTTAATCTAATAATAAAGTATTATTAATATTTTGAATTATTATTAAGATATATAATTTTCTTTAAATATTATAAATATTTTGAAAGTTAACTAAAATAATAAAAATATTTAATTATTTTCAGAAAATTAAAACAAAATTATGTAATTGTAAAATTAAAATTTTTTGAAATATATAAAAATATTATATTATATTAAAATTAATATTCTTATAAATTAAATTGAACTTTTTTTGGATTTGAATTTGGTTTAAAATTTGAATTCAAATCAGATTTTAACTTGAATTCAACAAAGATTTAAAGTTCAAACTAAATTATAATATAAGTTTAAATCTGACTCAAATTTAATTACAAATTAATATATTGTTATATATTATTTTAAATAAAGATTTTTTACTTTTGATAAAAAAATTATATAAATTAAAAATAATTAAACTAATAAATTGATCAGTTCTTAAAATAAATATTTAATTTTTGTACCAATTTTGACAGAAATTATTATATAATTCTATCAAAGATAAAAAAGAGATCAAGAAAGTATATTCAAATATTAAATAACTAAACTAAAACAAATAATATTAATATTTCTATATAATAAAAATCAAATAATTAAAATCAAAAATTAAGTTCTCAAAATATCAAATTATAATATATAATTTCTTGATCTTATTCAAAATTTACAAAAAGCAACTTGAAAAATACAAGATTTGAAATTTGATTTATTAAATTATTTTTATTAAACAACTTAATATTAATAAAAAAAGATATAAAAATAAATATTAATAATATAATATATAGTTAATTAGTTGTTATAATAAAAATTATAATTTATTAATTTATTAATTTATTAATTTATTTGAAATATAAAAAAGTGCATTAAAATAATATTCTTATTTTTCAATAAAATATTATAAAAAAATATTTTTAATAATATCTTTATTGAATATAATAAAATATAATTATAAATATAAAAAATATTCTGAGAAATATAAAAAATATTCTAAAAAATATAAAAGATATTTTGAGAAATATAAAAAATATTTTAAGAAATATATAAAAAATATTTAAGAAATATAAAAAATATTCTGAAGAATATAAAAGATATTTTTCTAAATATTAATTATTAAACTAATTTAATAAATAAATAAATAATATATGAATGATCAAATAAATAAAAATTAATAACTATTTTTATTATTTTGATATTTTTTTACTATTTTAGAAATTTTCATATTATTTATTATTTGAAAGATTTTTTAATTAATAAATTTTTGTAAATAAATATAATAATAACATAATAAAACAATATTTTTTAATACTTAAATATTTCATTTTAATTATATACTTTAAAACTTGTATACAAATAACTTTGAATTATATTGAGCTAATCAAAATATTATTATTGAATTATTAAATTAATATTTTTATTATATTTGAATTATTTGGAATTTTTCACTTAAAAAAATCATAATTCTATTTTATAAAAAGAATGAAATAAAAGTCTTTATTATTTTTGATAATATTATTTATTAGCTCTAAAATATATAATATTAGTACAAAGAAACAGAATAAAATTTGTTTAGAATTAGAATATTATTTATTTTTATTTCACTTATATTTTATTTCTTTTCAAACTATATAATTTTAATAAAAATTAATATAGAACTTAGATATATTTTTCTTATTCTTTTTGTTTTTATTTGAATTTTTCTTTCAATTCTTATTTATATTGATTAGCTAATTTTACAATTAGTAAAAAATATGTAATAATATAGAAATTTCCTGATGAAAAACAAAATAAATCAAAGAAAAAAAATTTTTTTATATTATAATTTATTTAAGTTAACTTTTTTTATTAAAATAAAACTAGAATAGAATTTTTATTAGAATACAACCAAATTCATTTTAACAATATTTCTGGATAGCATTATTTAATAACACATATGATTTAAAATACATGTTGTAAATTTTTTACATCATATCTGATTTCAATTTTCATTGAGATTTTGCAAATTGCAATTGATAAATTCTATATGATTTTGAAAATTATTATTTCTTATTGAATTCAAATTCACTTATTTTATATATTTTTATATATACATGAACTTTTAGTATTTCTAGTAAGTGAAACACAGTATTTGATTTTGCTTATAAAAAAGCTAAGATATTACATAATTATCAGAGGGTCCAAAAATCTCATCTTTCACGTGACCAAAAATGATTAGCCAATTAAATATAATAAAAATCTCATCTGTGGGGGGATCAGCTCAATATGACGTATATCTGCCAGTTCCCTAATTGAATACTTTCTCTAGATGATAAAAATAAAATTGGATAAATTGATTGTTATCGATTATAATAATAATGTGATTGGTAATTAGTTAGTAATAATAGAACATAAAAGAATATTTTATATTAGTGGTTTTTCAATTTGTAGATATGCCATTATTTACAAATTACCCTATTCTTAACTGTGTCAGTTATTAACAATAAAATCGATCACTGTGATCAAAACTGAGTAATATACAAATTCATGATTGTTCGGCATCCATTGAGACGGACACATCAGCTGATGTATTATAGGTGGCAGTGCTTTTACTACATATATAATGGTCAGTTAATTATATTAAAGACGAAAGAGATAAATAAAAGATATAATTCAAAAAATTTTATTGTTTCTTACCCTTTTGAATCAAACTTCCTCATCTTTTGGTGTGATGTCGACCCTACACTTAAATTACGTCCTTCTAAATATCGTAGTCTTGTTTCTACTAATGTACGATAATTACGACCAGCCTCTGCCGCAGTATCTTTTTCTTCACCTAAAGCATCAATACGTGCTGCAAGAGAAGTTTTAGTCGCTAATACCCTTGCAACCTAATTTTTTTGGAAATTGAGAATATTATTGTAAAACTACTACTAATAATAATAATAAGTAAAGACATTTCTTTTACCTTGCCCTTATTTTTCTGTGCTGCCTGACCAACCAAACTAGCGTGATATATTAGTCCATATTTCGGGGTATCATGTTTTGTTTTTAATGCTCGAAAGAGCGCCTTCTCGGCCCCAAGGATTTGAACGGTACTTGCCGGTGCTTTGGCCAGACTCATCAAACTGCCAGCATGAGCTATTAGTCGTGCACCCACTAAATCTCCAACTAGTGTTGTCAGATTGGGTGCAATTGCCGACATGCGATTTTGTAAGTATTGGAAGAGCTCTGCTCGATATTCACTAAGACTGACCACTTGATCACAAGCAAATCTGATATTTAATATATCGTCCTCAGCTATTTCAGTACCCATTGATATTTCTGCAGCTTCTTTTAAATCTTTTTCTATATCTTCAGGAAGAATATCAGAGAAATCAGTTTTCTGTGCATTGGAGCGGAATCCTATATCAAAATCAGTTAATTATTAGATTTTCAAATTCACTTATTATTTGCGGTAAATCAAACTCACCCATTTTTTGTACTACTTTGGCATAAGCTAAATTATCTACAACGATACGACTCATCTCTGGGAAATGCCATCCGTACCATTCTTTAACCCTCATCGAATATGTGTTTAACTCTTTATCCAGATCATCCAATAGTCCAATCGCCTGAATGATCATTGTGTCCACTTTGTCCGGTGAGAATTTGAGTTTATATCGTGAAAGTGAGTGTGACAAGCCTAAGGCCATTGACGAGATATCATTCGAGTTGACATCTGATATCAAAGCGTCAAGTTGCTGACGTATACCACGGTATAGATCGAGAATGGTAGAGTCTGAAACAACTTTGATTCCGATTTTTTTGTTGATTGCAGTGCCTGGTATCGATTAATAAAATAATCATAGGAGATATATATATGTATATGCATGACAAAAAAGAGCCCGAGAATGTAATGAGAATAAATAAACGCCTTTATAATGAAGAACTATTATTAACCTAGTTTTTGATCAGCAACAGCTAATTGTTCGCTTTGAATTGAGGCATCATCAATCGAGTCTTTTAAAAATTTTCTCAAATCTTTTGAAAGTTTTCCTTCTAGTATAGCTGTAACTGAGGAAACCGCGTCATTCATATTTTCAAACTTTTGAAATGCCTGAAGTTTGACCCTATAAAGAAATTACAAATTATGAATAGATATATATATATATATATATTATGTTAAAAAAAGAGCTCAAGTCTAAAATGCTTACACTTGATTAGCAGCTTCTGGTGTTTCAAAATCACGCCATAACTGTTCAGGGTTTGTCAGTTTACCGTCGTCTAATAATTTGAATAGCGCAAAGCCAGCGGCCGTTTCGAATAATACCAGCATTGTGTCAAAAATTATAGAATGTATTATTCGAATTTTCGGTTTTTTGTTTCTATCCGTTAATTGAGCAAAACGTTTGTTCTTGGGAATTTTATCAGAAAATTTTTTGAATTAGATAGTAAATCAACTACTTGACCAATCAGCCTGGGTTGAACGGTTTGATCAACAAATCACCCATCAGTAGAATTAATTATTTGGAAGTATTATTATTGTCGACCAATGAGATTCATAGAATTTGTTTTTGATTTGGAATCGCTTTTGTCCAATCAAAAACTAATTTTCTAACATTCACTTATTGGCCGACCATCATTAATTGTTTAATATACATGGTGACTCCCGTTAATCCGAAGTTGAATGTGCGTATTACAATGCACATGATAATAATGTGACGATCGATCTTCGGATTAAATGTTAAATATTTAATATAGTTGGTTTGAAGAATTTGATTGGGTGTGCCAAGTTATCAGTCAAATACATGTACGTACATTGTACGTCATGTAGATTTTACATTGTGACGATTGTTAAACAAAATTATCGTCAGGAGATTCTAGAGTTTGTAGCGGTTCACCAGCAATTTCGTTGCATTCATTTATTAGGCTGTCGATATTATTATTTCATGCTGTTAACTTTATAAATTTGTTTGAGATATTTGCTTGATAACGAGTACATACATTTACTAAAATCATGAATACGTATTGCGAACTGGACACACTTTGCAGTAATCCCCGTTGGCACAGACGACATTTATGACAATTACGTATAATATTCTAAATTTCAAATGCCATCTTTGAGTACATAAATTTCGGTAGACAAAACTATGGCCGTTATTATTAATTTAAAGATTGATCTATAAAATTCTAATCAGATCATGAGAAGATTGATTAGAATTTTCAACAAAAATGCCATATGGCCAAAAATACCCTGGGAACGGAAAAAGAATAATTCCAAGGAGCCATCACAGTAAATTGCAACCAAATCTTAATTGGCGAAGGTGAACAAATTAAAATGGTCAAAGTTGAGGACGACCATGTATCGAATGACTTATCCAACGAATTGGTTAGTTCTCCCCACGTTGACAATATCGTAGCTGAAATTAACCAATTGCCGGACAAAAAATTCGTTGGTGTACTAATTCGACCCGACCGACAACTGGAAAAGCCGAATTGAACACAACTTAATTAACATTATCATTTGAAACATAGGTGATTATTTACAACGCCAGAAGTATTATCAACTATGGTTAACTCTCGAAAACTTTATTGTCTTCTATTGCAATATCTTACTCCTATGACTTCATATTAAAGATATTAAATTCGATTAAGCAATCTTAGCGTGTTTAATTGTTTCTTTACTAGCGTAGGAAATTGTTCAAAGTTTGTGTTTGTAGCATTAATGTCATCGTTTTAAAGTAAAACATACTAAATAACAGTCATTGAACAAAGGAAGACTGACGAGAAAAGGATTAATTAACTGTGCAAACTTGGTGTGAACCAGAGCTACACAGGTGTAAGAAACAACGCAATGTAACCTATGTCTTGACCAATACCAACAATTATCAATTATGTGTAGAATCTTTGTACGTGCTGATTTACTGAACATGACCCAATTATGCATGGCTAGTATTATCCGATGACTGAAACCCAGCAGTTCACAGAAAAGGTCACCATGCTTTAACAACTAGAGTCCCAGAAGAGCAAGAGTTTGGCGTGCCGCAAGTGGAAGACAAGAGAAGAGCGGCGACACAAGCGAAAAGCAAGGAGAGTAGTTTATCGAGGTATCGCAGGTTGAGGATCAGGAAATTGTCTTAGCGATCGTAATATCGAAGATAAAAGTCTGAGAAGAGTGAAAGAGAAAGAAGAAAATAAGATGAATAAAATTTTTTAAAAAATAGAAAGTGCTTAAGCAAAAAAATGCAGAGCCTTTGGTCTTGTAATTAAAGAGAAAAGGAAATTAAGCCAAAAAGAAGCAAGAGAAATAGTACTGTTACATAGTAACATAAAAATTGTCAATAATCAAAAAATATAAAATATCCAAAAATATTTGTATAATAGCAAAAACCTCTTAAATTATTTTACTTTTTCACTTCTTATTTCACTTTCACTTCTTATTTCACTTATTTTACTTTTATATAGTTAATTATTTCACTTTTCCACTTTTCTATTTAATTATTTCACTTTTGAATAGTTATTTTATTTTTAGATAGTTGTTATATTTGAAATTTGTATTTTTAAAAATATATAAATAGATATACTGTCTGAATCTTGACATATTACAAACAAAAAATAAAATTCTTTCTTAACAAAAAAATCTTTTTTCCAAATAATATTTGTCTTTTTCACTTTCAATTATTTATATCAAAGCTTGTGCAAGTGATTAGAATTGTATTGTACCAAACAAAATGCTGTTATTGAATTTATAAACTTTATATTGCATTGTGCCAAACAAAGTATTATTAATGAATTTATTAATTTTGATTAAGTATTTTAATTTTTGTTATTTAAATTTTTATTATTTTGATTTTATTCTTTGAATATAACTCATTTATAAGAAGAACAAAGTAAAAAAGACTTTGTTATTTTGTTGTTATTGATTATATTATCTTAGCTCTAGAAAGCTTTATACAAGTACAAAAAATTAATATTCAAACTTATTTATTATTTATTCTCTTTTATATCTCTTTTTTTTCTCTTTGATCTTTATTTTCTATAACTCTTTCATATTTTTATTATATCTTTAAATAAATAAATTAAATACTAAAAAAAGATGTATTTAAGTTTTATGTCAATTTCTATAAAAATTATAATAATTTAATTTTTTTTCAAGTTTATAAACTAATTTAAACAAATTTATTGATTTAAATAAAAAATTTAATGAAACAAAAGTTTTCATTTTTTTATAAATTTTATAGAAAAATTAAGCAAAAGAACTATAAATATATTCAAAAAATATAAAAGAATTTGGATATAAGAATTTAAATAAATATTATAATATTTATTTCAAAACTAATATATATGTACTTGTTTTTGCAAATATTTGGACAAAATTTTAAAAAATATTATAATCTTGATTTTATTTATTATATATCAGCTTTAGTATTATTATAATACTTAAAATGATAAGTAAAAATTAAACTTTTTATAGAGATATATATATATAACTTTGTTATAATTTAAACTAAAAAATACTTTTGATTTATTTTAATTTATAATATAAATTTTATATATCAATATAAATAATTTTTATAAATCAATTTTTTTAATTAGAAATTATAAATAAAAAAAGTAAAATAATTTAAATGATAATTCAAATTAAAGATAATATTTTAATTAATTATAACTTGTAGTAACTAATTAGAAAATTATAATTTAATTATAATAATCAATTAAAAAATTGTAATCAAGTTATAATTAATTATAATTCTATTTTTAATTCAAATATATAAAAGAAATATTTTAAAATAATTCTCAATACTAAAACAGATACTTTAAGAAATTATTTATTAAATATTAAGATATATTTTTTTTAGCAAATTAGATAATTTACTTTTTGTAATTGAGAATTTTGAACAAAACAAAATTAACTTAATTTTTACAATAAAAAGTCAATATAAAATTTAGATTTTTAATAACAAAAAAATTAGTTTTATGTTTTGAATCTTGAGATAATTATATAATTATTATTAGTAATTTAAATTACATATAAATAGTTTAAGATAATTTAAAAATCTAAAACTTAAAAGACTAAATTATTAAATAAATTAAATTAATTTAGAACTAGAATATATAAAAAAATTAAAAAATTTATAATAAAATTTCAAAATAAAATAACTTGAACTTGAACCAAATAATTTAGTTTGAATTATTAAGAATTTTAATTTTATATAAAATTAGTAATAATTATAAATAAAATAACTAAAATATTATTATTTGATCAAATTAATTAATTTATATTATATATAAAATTAAATAATAAGTTGCATTAAAAGTCTAAAATAATTTTGAAAGACTTTCAAGCTTATGAATAATATTATATATAATAAGCTTATAAAAAATATTTATAAATATTAAATATTAAGTTATATTTATAAATAGTAATTATAATAAGAAAAAGTTCTAAAAAAAATATTCAAATAATTTTTAAAATATTGTTATAAATTTGTTCACTAATTGTTAAATTAGCTTACAAATGAGAACCTAGATTGGGAAAAAGTATAAACTAATAAAGAAAATATTAAGAGAAAAGTGTGATATTGTTTTTGTTAATTCAAAAATTGTTAAAATTAAAGAATTAACAAAGTAATATAACAGTGAAAGAACAAAAACTGAATAATTTATAATTAATGGAATTCACTAAAGATTCTAAAGATCTCCTGTAATAACTTGTATGCAAACTAATCAAATATTATCAATAAAGAATAGAAATAAATAAAAAAATAAAGTAAAAAGATAAAAAGAATTAAAGAAATTAACAAATAGTTTCAAAATAAATAACAGAACTTATTAAAGATATCTAATGAAATAAAATAACAATTGGACTTATTAAGAGTGCCAATTATGAAATATAAATAAAAACAATTAAACAAGACTTATTGAAACTACTATTATTATAGTAACATAAATTTCTCTAATTCAATAATCTTTCTTTGATTATATGAAATTCTCTTTTTCTTAATTTTTACTATTTATCACCTGATTATTATTATTTTTATCCAATCATATAATTATCTCACTTTATATTATTATCCTAAATCTTATATTTATACCCTAAATATCATATTTATTCCCTTTTTCTT